GGGTTTTTGGGGGGTGGGGTGAGTGGGTTTGGGCCATAGGCCATAGTGGTTGGGGTCACTCCTGGCACTGTTTGGGGACCATAGACGGTGCTGAAGGTGAAATCATGAGCAGATGCCTACAAGAGCCTCCAGTACTATCTCGCCAGCTCCTGCCTACCTCAGTTTTAAAAAACATCTTTCCTGAGGATGAATGCATACAGCTCGCACCACTCCCATGGAAGAAGGATTAGATGGGTGGTTTTCAGTGAATTCGCAGAGGAGAGGAAGTGCCATACGGACCCAACTGTGAACAAAAACTGAACTGAAAGGAGTGAAAAATTGGGGGTTTGCCATCCAACATCTGTGGATGTTCCAGAACAATCTGACTGGGTCTGCCCTTTGCAATTCTCCCCCTTGGTTCCCTGTGAACTCTCAAGACCGCCCTCTGAGACCCCAACAAGTCCCCTTCCAGATGAGAGGATATCAGAGATGCTCAGGGGGTGAAAGGCCGTTGGTTTCTGCAGACTCAAGGCAGTTCGCAACTTCATTGCTACTTATATTATTATTATTATTATTATTATCATCATTATTATTATCATTATTTTATTTTTAGTGCTAGGGATCAAACCCAGGATTTCTTCCACGTACAGCACAATTTCAGCACTTTCTAATTAAGTCCCCAAGGGAGCCACGTGCTGTTAGCAGCTACTCCCCATGTCCCTTGCCCTGGATTGGTGGCCGCTTCTACCTGTCCCCACAGTCCATTCTGGACACCTGAGATAAACAAAGTTGGGCAATGAAGGGTCACTCATTTGTTTGGGCCCACCCTCAGCGGTGCTCAGGGCTTACTCCTGGCTCTGTGCTCAGGGAGGCAGGCTTGGGGGACCCCATGGGGTGCTGGGCATTGATGCAGGTGGGCAAGGCAGAGGCTCCCCGCACTGTGCTCTGGCTCCCACGCAGGCAGCAATGCTGGTGACCGACTTCCACTCAGGGCCACCTTTCAGGTTCGCTCGTACTGTCCCCATGTTTTCTTCCTTGAGACATTTTCTAACTTTGTGGCAGACTGCTTTATTGAGGTCTGCATCACTCCAGCACTGCCCGTTGGCCACTGCTTACCGTATCACTTAATGTTTTTAAAGATTAAACCAGGCTATGGCAGGTAAAAAATTTATTTGTATGACAAATACTACCCCACTGGGGCTGGAGCAATAGCACAGCGGGGAGGGCGTTTACCTTGCATGCGGCAGACCCGGGTTCGATTCCCAGCATCCCATGTGGTCCCCTGAGCACCGCCAGGAGTAATTCCTGAGTGCATGAGCCAGGAATAATTCCTGTGCATCACTGGGTGTGACCCCAAAAGCAAAAACAAAAACAAAAGCAAAACAAATACTCCCCCACTCTGTGCATCTCCGACTTGCAGACAGGCTTCCTGCAGATGCTCAACAGAGAAGCCTAACGCACCCCTTTCTCAGCTAGAAGAATCAAGATTGAGCACATGAATCAGATCTAGGACTTTTGTTCTGAGGTCACACCCAGCAGTGCTCAGGGCTTACTCCTGGCTCTGTACTCAGGGATCACTCCTGGCAGACTCGGGGTACCACAGGGAGTGTCAGTAAATAGAACCCAGGTCAGCCATGTGCAAGGTAAGCACCCTATCTGCTGTGCTATCTATCACTCTGGTCGCAGAATTTTTTTTCCCTTTAGGCCAGGGGAACACCTGGTGTTGCTTGAGTGCCGCTTCCTGTTCATTTCCCAGGGGTCGCTCTGATGGTGCTCAGAGACCACGTGGTGCTGGGAATGAAACCCAGGGCCCCCACACGCAAGGCTGCCCTCCAGACCCACCCCAGAACTCAGACTCTGTGCTCTCTCCCTACCCCAGAATTCAGACTTCTGTCTTAAATAACCGATGTACTCAGAGTCCTCTCTTACAAGGCAGGCTGTCATCTAACCACGGGGCCCCTGGCCTTGGTCAGAAGCGCTTGCGGTGACTTACCACGGTAAAGCCAGTCAGATGGGCACCTTCCTCCGCTGTGTCCCCCGGCTCCTGGCCCAGAAGTCAGTAGCTGAACAAGAGGCACCTGAGAGACAGCAGGTTCATTCAGAGCAAAGGCTGGAATATGCCCCTGGCCGTGGCCACGGAGTGGTACACAACCAGCAAGCACTGAGAGCGCAGAGCGGTGAGATCCTGGTGATCTTCAGTTATTCTAGCTTGATGTCTCCTACCTGGGCGCGGGTTCGAGGTCATACTGCCTAAACTATGATAAACTTGTTTTACTGGGGAGGCCGTCCAGACCTCAGGGGTTTTGTTCAGGGGGACAGTGTTCCACAGGAGTGACCCTGTCTCCGGCACACAGTTCCCAGCCCCATCTCCTGCCCTGTGTCCCCTGTCCCATGTTTCTGCCCCCCACGTCACTGTCCTTGTCCTTCCTTCAGGCCTCCTCCCTCCTTTTGCCTCACTGGCTTCAGCATTCAGGCTATTCTTCATATTACGTCAGTACATTTTATGCTTCTCTCCTCCTGATTTTTCTGGTGTTAATTTGTTCATTTGGACCAGCATCACTGTTACTGTCATATCCTCCCTTTGTGGGCCCAGTAACATTGTGAGACTTGTTGTTACTGTGTTTGGCATAAAATGGATACATCACGGAGAGTTTGCCAGGCTTTGCCATGCAGGCGAGATACTCTCGGTAGCTTGCCGGGCTCTCCGAGAGGGGCAGAGGAATCGAACTCAGGTCGGCCGACGTGCAACGCAAATGCCCTACCCGCTGTGCTATCCCTCCAGTCCCTGGACCAGCATAGAAAAACTCATTTGGGGTGGATGGGAGTAGGGTTGAAATTTTTATTCCTCCTCTGCACCCGCAGTTCATTTTATTGAACAACATTTAAAGGCTTTACCTGTGATTTATTGGTGAGGGCATCACACCCAGAAATGCTCAGAGGACCATGTGGTATAGGGGGGTGAACCTGGGGTTCTCACGTACAGATGATGTGCTCTGCCTCTTTGACTCATTGCTCTGGACCCTGCGCCACATTTTATTTTCTTTTTTACTGGAAATATTTTATTTTATATTTTTTAATTAAAAACATTTTTTTAATGAATCACTGTGAGATAGCACAGCAGGTAAGGTGTTTGCCTTGCATGTGGCCAACATGGCCGACCTGGGTTCGATTCCTCCACCCCTCTTGGAGAGCCCGGCAAGCTACCGAGAGTATCTTGCCTGCACGGCAAAGCCTGGCAAGCTCCCTGTGATGTATTCAATATGCCAAACACAGTAACCACAAGTCTCAAAATGGAGACGTTACTGGGTCTGCTCAAGCAAATCAATAAACAACCGGAGGGCAATGACAGTGACAGTGAATTAAAAAAATTATTTTGATGAATCACTGTGAGATAGAGTTACAGATTTACAAACATTCATAATTACGTTTCCAATGATCAAGTACCCATCCCTCCACCAGTGCCCATTCTCCATCACCAATATTCCCAGTATCCCTCCCGCCACCCTACCCCCACCCCAGCCACATTTTATTTATGCTGTCATACATTGATGGACACTTTGCTGCCCGATTGAATGTTTATTTTCTGTTTCCCACACCAAAAGATGCTCCATGAGTATATGGGCATTTTTGTTTTATTTCCTGCTCTATTTCTAGCGTCTTAGCTAGCGCCTGGCATGTACCAAGAGTTCAGTAAATTTCCCAGGAGAGTGATTTAAGCGTCGGTTGACCTACCTGGCCAAGGGTTAAAAGTAACACCCTCCCCCCGACCAGGGTTGAGCATCCCAAGACCGGACCATGGCCATGGGACTAGAGCAAAGCAACTGTCCTCAACATCTCATGCTCTGAAGGAGCAAAGTCAGTGCCCAAATGAAAAATCAATTAGATTAAGAAAACTGACTCAAAGAAAGGGTAGGGACAGAGTGCTCAGCCGAGAAAGCCTGGGGCTGGTCCAGGAGCCAGCCAGGGCTTCCTGCCAAGACTTGGGCCGACATTTACCAGCCCTGAGTCAGCCCCTGGGGAGAGGGCTGGAGGGATTGAACCCAGTGAGCCTCTTCCGAGGGACAGGCAGGGGAGTTTCTGCACGGAGCAGAAACTGCACTAGCTGGCAGAGTTCAAGTCTGGCAGACGAGATGGGGTCCGAGCAGAGGCACCGGAACTGGGAGAAATCGGAGGTGGGTCCTGGGTCTGGAGAAGGGTGACAGAGAAGTGGGCAAACTGAAGTTTTATAATTTTCTGCTTTTGAAAATGCTTTCCAGGTTGGCTTTGGAGTGGGGACTCGGGGGCAAGTTCCTCTGGGTTAGTAGGAAGCGAGGTGGATGGGTGGCCAGGGATGGGGGACTGGGGGGGGGCACTCTTTGTTTGTTGTTTGGTTTGGTCTACACCCTGTGATGCTCAGAGGTGACTCCTGGCAGGGCTCACCGGACCCTATGAAATGCCAGGACCGAACCTGGACGGGTGGTGTGCAAGTCAGATGCCCTCCTCAGTGCACTGTCTACTATGCTCCAGTCCCGAGTGGGGGAACTTTGATCTGTCTCTTTCCCACACATACACCTGCAGGTGTATGTGCGCACACGCGCACACACACAGAGCAGTACGTAGCTGCATGCACACACACAAAGGGTTGCATGCACACATGTGCACATGTGCACACAGAGGGCTACTGTGAGCGCACACACGCGTGCACAGCTGCAAGGCACACACACCCACACACAGCCCCACAAGTGTACGACTGCACGCACAGACATGGACACACGCGCACAGCCACGCAAGCGCATGGCTGCAAGCACACACGGACACGGGCGCATATGGACACGCGCGCACACGCACACACATGAACACGCACACAGACGCACAGGTGCACGGTTGCACGCGCACACAGACTCGCCTATACGGACACGCGCGCACACGGAAACGCACACGCATGGACACGCGCACAAGACGCACAGGTGCTCGGTTGCACGCGCACACGGACACGCGCGCACACAGGCGCCCGGCCCACGCACGAGCGGCCTCGGGCGCGGGGCGGGCGCTGTGGGCGCGGGCCGGACTCCTCCTGCTGATGTCATCCGCCCCCCGCGCCAGTCCGCAGCCCCGCGCCCCACGTGCGGCCGCCCGCCCCGCTGCGCCCCACCATGAAGGTAACGGCTGGGGGGGTGGGGACCGGGGCGCGCAGGTGGGACCCCCGGGCCGCCCTCCCCGCCCCCGGCGCCGCGCGTTCTGGGTGGGTCGCCCCGCGCCGGGGCTGCCACTCGGGCCACTGGGCTCCGCCGGCCGGGGAAGGCGCCGCGGCCCGCTGCCCGCCTCAAGTTGGCAGCGGAACCTGGGAACCGGTCCCTGGCCAAGATGCGCGGGGTTGGGGGGCTCCGGGGGGCGCGGGGTGGGGGCGGGGAGGCCCCGACGCGGTCCCGGGGGGCGCCCGCGGGGTGCGCGCGAGCGGCGAGGTGAGGGGCCGGGGGGAGCCTGGGCGAGGAGTGGGAGGAGGAGGAGGATGGGGAAGATGGGGAGGAAGAGGAGGAGGATGAGCAGGAGGACTATCCAGGGTGTCTCAGACCCCGGGGAGCCCGGGAGCGGATTTTGCGGGAGAGATTGCAGCTCCCAGGAGGTCGCGGTCGTGAAAGCGCATCCGGGAGACCCTTTCTCCAACCCCCGGGCGCTGCCTGTAAGAGGAAGCAAATTCTTTCTTCTTTTGCGCCTTTCCCCACCACCAAACTTGCCACTTAAGCAGGAACTGAGTGCAAACACTGCGTTTTGTACCCAAAAAGAGGTCATGCAAATGGACCGGGATGGGGGGTGGGGTGGAGAGCAGGGGCGGGGGTGGGGGACCCAAAAAAACAAACCCCGCGCAGCCTCTTTCTTGCAGAATGAGTCTGCGTTGGGCTCCTCGCGCATGCTTGATTTCAGCCGGAAAGTCCGCGGCTGAGTGGCCGGCGGCGGACTGGGCAGGAGAGGCCACGCCGCCAGCCTGGGCTTCCAGGCACCCACGTGCAGTCGGAGTAGAGTCCCCAGCGCGTCCGGTGCTTGGCCTGGCCGGGAGCCCCTGCAGTTTCCCCTCCACCAGATAGATACTGCCGACAGGAAGCGGGAGGGCATCTTCAAATACTTTCATTTCTATTTTCTCACGTTTGACTCAGAGGAGGAACGAACACCTTGAAGCAGAGAAGTGCCAAGTGCCTTTAAGTTTCTTTCTCGTAGATTGGAAATCTCTGTGCCTTTGTATTGCTGTCTTTCATAAACGTTGTTAGCACGCCGCATGATGCCGTGAGACTGCCTCTGTCAGTTTTGGAGACAGCTCTGGTTGGGGAGTTTTTTGATTTCTCTTTTTGTTGGGGGCTGCTCTTTGCTCTGGAAACCCGCCTTTTGGGGCATCCAACCCCAGGCTGACTGCATGCAGCAAAGAGCTTTTACAAACCTTGCTCTTCCCCTAAAATAAAGAGTCCACACCTGGTGATGTTCAGGGTTCACGCCTTGCTTTGTGCTAAGGGATCACTTCTGGGTGATGGGGTGGGGGTGGGGACCCTATGGGTTGCCTGGGGTCCAAGTTGAGTTGCCTGCGTGGAAGGCAAGTGCCCTACCTACTGTCCTGTCTCTCTGGCCTCTGGGAGTTTTTATTTTAAGAGATCTGATGTGTACAGCCAACTGTATAAGAAAATGAGCAGTGTGTGTGTGTGTGTGTGTGTGTGTGTGTGTGTGTGTGTGTGTGTGTAGGGTGCTGCACACCCGGTCCTGCTCAGGGCTTACTCCTGGCTCTACGCTCGGGATTCACTCCTGGTGGTGCTCCTGGTGTGGGATGCCGGGGTTCGAACCTGGGTCCAGCACCTGCAAGGCAAGCAAATGCCTTTTCTGCAGTACTGTCTCTTCTGGGCTCCAGAAATGAGCCCGTTTTGGAGTTCATGTTTGTGTTCTTTGCTTGGACTATTGTGTGTGGACATGGTAATTGATGCTGTGATGCGCTGAGACTTAAAGCCAGAGGGAGGGTTCGGGGAGGGAGAGGGTGCTGGTGTGGGTGTGAGAGGTCAGACAGCAGCAGCCAGAGGTGGGGGGGGAGGGGGGTTGCCATCCAGACTCTGGTGGTTGCCCTGAGGTGAGGTTGAGAGAGGCCAGTTGAGCAAGTCTGGCCAACACCTGTATGCAAAAAGGAGAAAGGGAGGAATTTATCCCCCATCCCCCGCCCTCCTGTTCCACCCAGCGAGTGTCCCAGTGCAGTGGTGTGTGCCATGGACCCTGAGGTCAGTCCTGCGGGGGAAGCCTGGGGCTGGGCACATGTCCAGCCTGTGAGGGCTCTCTCCTGCCTTTGCTCTCGGCTCCTGATCTGAATAAACTGGGCTCCAGCCCTAGGAAGGAATGGGAACTGGAAGGGGGGAGGGGTGTCCTGGAGTGACGGGGAGGGACACTGGCACTTTCGGGCCGAGAGCATGTGGTGACGTTGTACCCCCAAACACACAGCTGCGTGAACCCCACCTTCGTAGCTTTTCTTTTAATTAAAAAAAGAGTAGAAAAGTTTGAAACTGGCCAGGGAGATAGTCCAGGGGCTAAAGTGTTTGCCTTCCAAGTGGCTGACCCCCGTGAGCCCCTGGCATTCGATACGGCCCCCAGCACCACTAGGAACAGCCTAAGCCCCCAATAATCAATCAATCAATCAATCAAAGTGTCATGAAGAAAAAGTTGGAAACAGTTTATTGTCACAGAGATTAGGGTTTGCTCCAACAGCTGCAAATGTTTTTTGTACTTTTAGGTTTTGTCTGGACTTTTCATTTTTTGGATTTTTTTTTGGGGGGGCACACCTGTCCATTCTCAGGACTCACTCTTGGCTCTATGCTTATGGATCACTCCTGGTGGGGTTTGGGTGACCAACTGGGATACTGGGGATCGAACCCGGGACGGCCACGTGCAAGGCACACACCTGACCCACTGTACTGTCCTCTGGACTTTGCTAAGCATCAGCTGCAGGCAGGAAGGAGGGACGGTTGGAAGCTTCTAGGCCCCCTGGAAGAAATGTCTAGAAACCTTCTCGAATGTCTGGCTTGGCTGTTGCCCAGGGGTCTCGGGGCGTCTCTGAATGGACTCTCCTTGTGCAGACCGAAGGAGGGAAGCGAGGTTTTCTCTTGGGTGTGGACCCCTTGTCTTCTGTGGGTACCTCCTTGGGGAACAGGCCAAGTGCAGCTTGTGCCCCGGGGAACTCATGATCCCATTTATCATGCGAGAGTGGCAATGTGGACATCCCCTCCCCTCTCGCCACCATCATCACCCCCTTCCCCTGCACCCCGTTATCTTAGACATCCTCGACCTTTTTCCTCTAGAACGCTCCCTTCTCTTGGAGACGCAGCGGCCTGGCTGCTTGGATCTCACAGAGCTGTGCGGTCAGCGGTGTTGCTGACTGACCAAATGCTCCCAACCCAACGTTCTCTGTGAGCAACAACTCTGCTGGCCACGGTGCTGGCCATTGGCTTGACAGTTCCAGTGCCCGTTCGGTTAAGGTCATGGATGGTGCCTTGGGAGAAATATTTTTTCTGGGTTGCAAATAGATTGGAAGCAAATCTCCTGCACATCTCCAGGTTGCAGACAGATTGGAAGCAAAAATGGATGGGAAAGAGTTTTGGGAAAGTTGACACCAAAATATGTCAAATGAACTAACATCTACAGAATTCATCCCCCAGCTCCCACTGTGTGTGCCAGGCTAGTTCTGTCCCGCCTTCAGAACCGGGCTGAACGGGAAATATCTCTTCACTGCCGGCGGAACTGACCGCAAATAGCAAATATTGAACAAAGTCATGTGTCTGGAAATGTGAAGTAATTCTAATATTGTTGCACATGTTTTCTTTTGTGATCACAAACAATGCTGTTTTTAAGCGATCTAATCAATGCACACACAGGCAAACAAGTCCAACAAAAGAGGCTGTGAGCGCCAGTGTTCATTGAGTACCAGAATCTGAAAGGGAAAAAACCAAACTCTTAGGTCATCTTAGGCATTTACTTCTGCCAAAGAAGGACTGTTGTTTTGAGTTTATTTTTTCTAGCTTTCCATTCGATTCCACTAACATCCTCCGAAAAATGAAGATTTAAAAATCTCTCGTGGGCAGTCCTGACTCTGCTTAGAAGTTTCTAGACCATTGGCGTATTTTCCTTTCCTTGGTGGCTTAAACCTACCAGTCATTCATGCCAAGACTCTGCCACAGAATTTGTGCTCTTTTGAGATGGTCACAAGCATCATGCATGCTTGCAGTGCCTCAGTACCTAGTCCAGTGGTAGAAGACCTGCCACATGTGGCTGAGGCCTGGGGTTAGATCCCTAGGACAGCAACAACAAATTTCTTTCTTTCTTTCTTTCTTTCTTTCTTTCTTTCTTTCTTTCTTTCTTTCTTTTTCTCTTTCTTTCTTTCTTTCTTTCTCACACCTGGCGGTGCTCAAGGTTATTCCTGGCTCTGCACTCAAGAATTACTCCTGGCAAAACTCCTGGTACTAATCTCCTCCCAGAATGGCAGAAGCATGCTGAAAGTAGATTATAGACCAAACATGATTGCCACTCAATGCCTCTTTTGCAAACCACAACACCCAGAAGGAGAGAAAGAACAGAGGGGAATGCCCTGCCACAGAGGCAGGGTGGGATGGGGGGATGGAGGGTGGGAGGGATACTGGGACCCATGATGGTGGAAAATGGGCACTGGTGGAGGGATGGGTACTTGATCATTGTATAACTGAAACCCAAGCACAAAAATTTGTAAGTCTACAACTGTACCTCATGGTGTTTCACTAATAAAAATTAAAAAAAAAAAGAATTATTCCTGGCGGTGGTCCGGGGACCCTCGGCACTGGTTTAATTACAAGTATCCTATGGGATGCTGGGAATCAAACCCAGGTCGCCCGCGTGCGAGGTAAACACCTTCCCCGCTGTGCTATCACTCCAGCCCCAACAACAAATTTCTAAAATAGCACCGTGCTCTGATGTAAGCAGGCATTTTCTCTTCTGAGTAAAAGGCTGGAGCAGATATTCTGTTGGTCACGGCAGGAATAGAGAATTTGTAGTCTCAGGCTGTCAGAGGTCATAGCCCCATTAGTAATGTCCTTACGTGGGCTTTGGGTCTTCTGGTCAATCAGTGACCTTCTTTCCCCCTGAACAATTCGAACATTATTTGTGGGACCCC